GAAAATACAGCCATGAACAAAGAGAGACAGGAGGTTCATCTGTGCCCAGCTCATGTGCTTCAGAGAGGTTCTTGAGTCAAGGCATGAGGCCTCTCTGAGGTCTGTGCTAACACCACCCTGCCAGTGCCAGGGACAAGGTCATGGTCAGGCCAAGGTCATGCAACTCCTGCTGGGGACATTTTCATCGTGTCGGGACTACCCCACCAGCCCCAAACAGTTTGTGTCAGAGACTATGGAAGGTTCAGATTTTACCCTTCGGGTTTTATGGGTAATTCCTGTGTCTTTGAAGTTCTGTTCCCACTGAAGATGAAGGCAAATTCCCAATGATATTAATGGGGTTAGGATGTGTCCTTGTCTCTGTTTTTTTGCTGTTGTTTCCTTTGTTGCAGTAGACCTATTCCTTTATTAAAGTTTTTGCCTGGGGGAAAAGGAAAAGCCACGTTGCTAAATAAATTATGAAATATTTACATTTGTGAAGCCAACCCCTTATGCCTAGCTCCTCCTCTAATATTAAGATGACACTTTTTATAGAGCTTCAGCTTCTACACTGCCATTATTCCTCTGTGGGATCTGAGACCAGGAGGTGACAAAACAGCCACCATGAGCCAAGTGACAGTAAGTAATACCCAGGAATGATTGCTGATTTTGACTCAGTGTGATGAGAAACTACTATACTAGACCCCAGTGATGGTTTGTTTAGTGAAGGAGAGCAAAGTAGGATCAGAGATAAAACTGAAAAATACCATAAAACTGGGGAGGTTTCTAAACAAAGCTTGATTTTTAACCTGACAATGAAAGGCCGTATGTTGTACAAAATACCCATAATAATAATGATCCCAGGAGCAAAGTGTTAAAGACATCAGTTTGCTAATCCCTATGTATGTTCTTTTTACTTTCTTTTGCATTTTTATTTCCTTTTTGCCTGCAGTACTCTCAAAGCTACAAGAATGAATGCAGCTCACTTTATTGTCACCAGCTGTAATGAAATGATCTGCAGTTACTCTTGTGAATATTTTGCATCTCTTGTTTTTATTGCATTTGTACATTGGCTTTAAACCTTAATAGTGGCTTCCGTCTCTTAAAAAAATGGTTTAGCATGTGTTCAAATATGTATGGTTCAAACTGGTTAGCCTAGCTTATGAATTTCTCCCTCCTACTTTTACCTGTTTAATGCATTTGACTTTACCTTACCCCACCTCTTGTAGGTTTGGAAACAGAGAGGCAATGACTTTCTCAGGTGTTGGTTTGTGCTGTGTTTTTTTATCACTTGGTTAAGTCACTTCAGTTTATGCCTTTTGCTTTTATCTCTGTGGTGTAGCCTATGGAGACTGTATCTGTAAAGTGGGTGAATGTTAGGTAACTATCATAGTAAATGAAACATCCTAATAACTGGAATTTTGCACAGCTAACTTCAAAAGTGTCACCACACTCAAGGTCTCTGACTCACTTGGTATTGACCATTATAACGTTCCTTCTGCTCTTCTCTTGCTTCCCTTCTCTTGCTTACCTTCAGTTGTCTTGTTCTCTCTTCCATTCTCCTACAAACTATTTTTGCTCCCATTTCTGTTTCTTCCTTTGGCAGGTTGGTGAGCGGCTGGGAATACAACTGCACAAATTGTCCCTAACTGCTTTGAAGTGTTTCTTTCTTTGCAAAATGTTCTCTGCAAAATTTTCAGTTCCTTCAGTCTCACTTTGACTTTCCTGAAAAAAAATATTTGGAGTAGTTAGAAAGCAAGAATTAAAAGATGAGATTTGCCTTGCACAGTGCCTAGGATTTACAAGGTCAGGATATGAAATGGAGCAGCTTTCAGAGCAGGGAAGGGAAGAGTTCCTGAAATTGTGCTGAAGTGTAGGACAGTGGTGCTTACCTCCTATTTGTGTAAAAATACATTTTTAAAATGCAATATAGCAAGAAAAATGTTGCTATTTGGCTGACAGAACATTAGCCCAAAAAAGAACCCTGGAAAATGGCACACACAAAAGCACCCTGGAGCTAAATACTCTCACTCTTTAGAAAGTCATAAGTAAGCAACAAAAAGAAAACACTCAGTGACACAGCTTTTAGTGAGCTTTTGGCAGGTTTTGGAATGTAATGGAGAAACCACGCAGTGCTATAATGTTATACCCTTAATTTGCAGGCATTAATACATGTGAAGACAGATTTTTGGATTACTGTATTATGATGCACAACTCTCTGGCTAATTTGCATGCAACATTTCTATGATTAATAAATGAGGCAATGCTGGTAACTACTGTATAAGAGTGAACCACTTGTAGCAGTTGCCAGCACTCCAGCATGCAACATCAAATACTATGCTCTGCTTCTGTAAGCTTTGAATATTTGAACATCAGTTTGCAGTTCCCAGGCTGCAGTGATCAAAGGAGGGGAAGAATGTTCCTTACTTTTATCCTTCTTACAGAGAACCAGAATAGTCAGCAGATACCTTGTGTAGAAATGTCAAGGAAACACAAATGAAAGAAAATAAAATCAAAGGGACTTTCTAAAATAACTTGAGTAAAAGTGTAACACAGCTCTTTATAAAAAGCAAGATATATTTTTCAAGTCCTAATGTTTTATAGTTACCAGTTTTAGTAAAATGAGCATATCATATATGCATAGAATAACATACTCTCAATACTGGGATATATAATTTAAAGACCATAAAGATAAGCATATAATGGGTCTGCATTAAAAAATTATATTATGCTGTCTGAATCCAAGATCTAGAAGTGTTACAACTGATTTCTTGATTCAAACACAACTTCTTTTACTGCATTCATGCCAAATTTGTGAGGATTATGAAAAATTCAGTATATTAGATCTATAATCTGCTATTTCCAGTCTAAATAAAAAAGTTTCAGATATGTGACACATATGGCTAGCAATTTAGGGCATCAGGATATCTAGAATACACCAATATTGCTATCCTAGGTTGGAATTTCAGATCAGGCTCTCTGCCTTTTACTATGGAGAATTTTTTCCCTGCTACAAAGGGTTTTTTTTCACACTTAGCCTAACACAAATTTTTTCATCTCCACTCTCATTTTTTAATTCCTGTCTTTTTAAGAAATCTCTTGTGAAATTCAAGAGGTGCATCATATTCTTGCATCACACCCTGAGCACAGTTAGGCTTTGGCTTACCGAGCTTTCAGGTGATGCTGCCAGCACCACTCTGCCTCCTGAACATTTTACTGCAGGCATGGGCAGTTTACATGTTCTGAAGCAATTACTATATTAAGTACTCAGTGATGTATCCTTCCCAGAAACTGAAAATAAAGGTATAAAATAAATCTGCACAATAATTCATGGGCGTTAACATATGGGTGTATTTTCTCTGTGGATAATTACCTAGCTATGCTAATAAAGCCAAGGATGCTTTGATACATTAAAACAATTTCTCACAATGATGCTATTGAGCATTTCATTAGTCAGAAGTATGCCTGCAGACCCCTGTGACAAGACAAAGCACTGGGCTACTTTAGCACGCCTTGAAGAAGGTTCCCAGCTCAGAGAAATTGCTCCCAAAGCTTCCTTTGACTTGCTGGCAGGCAGCTGGCATGGAGCCCCAGAGTCCTTGAGAAATTCTCCAATACATTTCTCATCACTCCCATCATGAGAGCTCAGGGTATGTTCGGTGGCTGTGCAGACCCCAGAAGCGATTCTGCCACAAAGGCTGCCCTGTGAGGTGGGCTCAGGCTGCCACGCCTCTGCCTGTTTTCCAGTATTGTAATTGCCCAGCTAGAATTGAACTTCACACAGTTTAAATTTTTAAGCCTTCAAAGTTTTTTTATATTTTTTGTTTTTTCTCAATGTTTAATCCTTTGACCTCTTGCAGTAATTTTGTGTAAAAATGCACTATTCTAACACAGCAAACCACTTCCCTACTGACACACATCTACCTGCATTAGGGAAGCATCCTCAGGGATACGGGGGTTTACAGAAGAACCAGCCAGGTTTTTTGAGCAGTGTCAGGGAGGCAGAGTCCTGCCCTTGCTCTGGGGTGGTGGTGGTGGCTGTGGGGAGGGCAGGAGACGCCCTGGTGTGGGGGGGCTGGATTTGGAGAGCCTGTGTCTGCATTTCCTGCGCCCCACGAGCGTGTCAGGCGAGCCTTGGCTTGTGGAAATGATTACAAGGCAACTTATACCAAACAACCATCCCTGCTGCTGTGTTTGTGTGTTTGGCTGCTGTACAGTAATGTTTAGTGGATTAATAATGTTTGCTTTTGGCCTCTCCTACTCCCTCAGCAAACAATTTTCATGTATAATAAATGTTCTCAGAACAGAGCCCAAGGGTCAGAATAGCCAAACCTGCATGCTGAGAAGAGACTCCAGGCTTCCACACAAGAAACAGCTGTCTTCCCTCTCCAGGGTCCAGTGTCTGGGCGTTTCTGCAGGGTCAGTTTTGCTGAGCAGGTCCCCCTGAAACTGCAGAGAGGCCACACCACATATCTCCTTTTGCAGGAACCAGTCTGTCCAGTCAAAAGGGTCACGGTGGGCAGCAGAGGCAGCACAGAATCACCAGGACAGGCAGATATTTCTTGAGTGTTTGGCATTTTGAAATAGAAGCATATTTTAAATTAAAAAACTTCATCTATATATGTATTAAGCAAAAAGTGAACATTTCACACAGGGCATACTGTGTTGAGCATGAGGTTGAGTAAGTGGCTTACGGTCTGGCATTTTCAAAGAAAGCCTTAGAGTTACAAACCCTTTAAAAATCTATACGGTTTATTTTGTTAATTATTAGTCTATTTTGGGAAACAAAGAGTCTGCCCACGTGTCATAATGTGTGGCAGAAATATAAGGATATGCAAATAAAGAAGTTACACAACAAAAGCAAAATGAATTAAACTGTTTACAGTCAAAAAAAGGAGAGAACCAGATCTGCAGCCTTTTTATTGCTACACCACTGAAATGAGAGTGTGCACAGCCAGGCTGCTGAGGTACAATGGTACATGGTACAGCTGTTTCTTTACGTCTTTCCTCTGCTCTTTATGCCTCCACAGTTACAGCTGAAATGGAGGCAACCAGCCTTGGGTACAATGAAAGAGGAACGTATAAGTAGTCTTGTAAAACTTTATGACGACTATTAATTGATCAAATAATTAAGAAAAGCAATCAGCACTTACTTCAAGTGGCCTGGGGAGCAGGAGCCTGGCAACACTGGGACAGAGACTCTTTGCTATTGAACCCTGTGACCCAAATGCTGTGGCTGAGTATTTGAAAATACTACAAGAAATACAGGTTGTGCCACAGATCCAGGTGCTCTGTGACACACGTGGTGAGCTCGCCAGCACTGTCTCCAGTGGAGGATTTCTTGCCAGTCCTGTACACTGAAGTTGTGCTTACACAAAGCTGTGGGTAAGATACAAGAGCTCAGACAAGCAGGTTAGGTTAGTGTCTGCCATGAAAAGATAGGCAAGAGAAATTAATTTTGTCTTGGCTTATCTGAGCAATGCCTTACCATCCCACAGTGCAGTGTTCTGTGTCACTGGCAATTTTTGCTGCCACAAAAGGTGTTGCTTGACCACAGCTAGCCAAACAAGAAGTAAATATGTAAAACAATTTGACTGGCATCAGACAAAGAACATTATCAGACATTATTTATCGAATGTTATTGGGTCATATGCAGAGAAAATAAAATTTAAAAAATTCTTGCAGGATATCTGAGCAACACTACTATTTTCACTGAGCCATTAGACTCAAGCTACGAGCTATCTTCCACCCAGACTGGCTAATTATGAAACCTATTCATTTACAACCCTCTTCATTATGCAGGATACATACATTATTTCTATCTCTTATGCACAATTTTTTTCTGAAATTAATTTGTTTGACACTTTGCACACTTTGTTGTTTGGCTGATTGTTCAGGATGAAAAGGGAAAGAAATCTTTCGTAACCTCTTGTGGTTGTGGGGCATTTCCTTACACCTACTTCCATGGAGGCTCAGTGGTAGGGACCATGAACACAGCAAAACAGAAATGTGAGCGTGACAGCCAGATCTTCAGACTGGAGTTTATATTACCAATCCAGGAAAAAATGAGATAGAAACATATAAATATATTTAGGAACACATTAAACACAGATACACTTTTGAAATCTGAACATGAGAGTGTATTGGGGTTTTGCCAGTCACCTTTGTCTTTATAGCAAGACCATGCAAACTTCAGGTCCTAAGTCTGAGACTAGAGATACTGAAAATTAACAGCCGCACTTGTTGCAATGTGAAAATGTAGGTTAAATAGCACCTTTCTTCAAATATATTCTTCTCTTTATTTTTTTTCCTAATTGTCTCCATTTTTCCCTTGGCACCTACAAAACACTGTAACCAACCACAAATAACTATACAGACGGAAGAGGGAGACTGTAAATACACCATTGTTACTCCTTATTTTGCTTATTCATACTTTGGACATGTTTATTTGTTTATAAAATTGCTGTACATGAATAAAAGTGCTAGAAATATTCCCAAGCTATTGATTACAGATAATTTAAAGATGATTTAAAGTATATTAATTCTCTAAAAGTGAATAATATGAAGATGGGGTCTTCCTGTCTTCAGATCTACTCATCTCCTTGTCTGGATCTAATTTTCTCAGCTCTTTTAGAGATTTAGCCCAAGCTGATCAGAAATGCTGTGATTTATCTCAACAGTGCCAGAAATTCAGGGCAGTTTTGAAGTATTTGGGAGTACTTATCCCTTGCTACCAGCCCAGTCCTGACAGCCCAGCTCATGAGAGGTTTCTGTTGTCCCTCCTGTCCCACGTCCAGCCCCACTCCCAAGGTGCCCAGGGATACCCGTGCAGGGTGCTCACAGAGATGAGTTTTGGTGCAGCCCCATGCAGCAGCATCCCTCCAGTCCCAGTCTGGTGGGGATGCTGAGAGGAGCCAGGGGAGCAGAGCAGGGCCCAGCACACAGCCCCAGAGGGCCCCACACCACAGGAAAACAGCTGCCCTTCACCTGCACACCACCTGCTCCTACAGCTAGGATGTGCTTAGCACATCTGGAAACTCACAGGGCTGATTTTCAGAGTGAAAGTACAGTTGAAGGGAGACATTTTCTACACTTCCCATGTAGCAAGGGCTGTGCTGGTTAGCAGGAATGGTTTGTTATAGCTCTCTGGGAGCAGAAGTGCAGCTTTCATAGTGGATTATCAGATGCCTGAAAGCTTTGTAGATCTGTTCATTCTGGGTACAGATGAACCCACCACTTCTCCAAGCTTGCTCAGCAGCACGGTTCAGGTCCCCAATGCATGTCCACTGATCTTTGTACATCCTTGAAACAGCCCATTTGGAATGGTCATTAATGGAATGAAAGGAGGAGTTCAATGGCATCCCTATGATGTTTATGTTGTAGACGTGGTAGTCAAGAGAGCAATTTGAGTAAAGCTTTTCACCAGAACGCTGCCATGATTCAGCCAACAAATCAGTCTTCAGTTCCTGAGCCATCCAGGCCACATAGATATCTGTGGGATAACATAGGATGTGGACAATCAGTGTTTCATGTTCCTTCATTCAAGAATAGACTGAAAAGCATAATCTAAATTGTGCTCGTTTCATTGTAATGCATGAACTCAGCCAGAGGGAATTTTGCCTGCTCCCCTTATTTTGACTTTTTCAGAAGTTCATTTCTACTTTTTTTTCCTTCTAGAAAACATGTTACAAACAAACAGCAGGAAAAAAGGGAAGGGACAAAAAAATTGCAAATCTTCTTCATAACAGAAAACCCCCAGATGATGCAAACCCCCTGTTTCTTCTTTTCTGTACTGTTGAGTAATGGAACATAATTTTCCTGAAAATCTAATTGTTGAATACCTTAGGATGGACCAGACAGCTTTTTGCTTTGTGGGGCTGAGAGAGCACTGGGATGGGACAGCACACCTTGCTCTCTGTTACATTTATTTATGAAGCTGAACTTCTTTTTTCCCCCTCAGGAAGAATGTGAGTTTTAAAATAATTTATTAATTCACATTTTAAGAATTAATTGAGAATGTGTTATATAGAGAGCAAAAGGTTCTCTTACCATCTATGAACAAGTGTGACTTTGCAAAGTGGAGAAAGGTTTCCCCATGAGCTGACTGGAGCTTGGAGAGGTGGCGCAAAGGGACCGAGGGCAGCCTGGACTTGGCACAGAGTTTCTGGAGATTTGGGAGATCAGCTTGGAAGATGTCAGGGATGGAACAGCTGTAGATTCCTGGATTATAACTCAGCATCTGCTGGTCTGAGAAAAACCCACAGAAATGAACACATGCAGAATTAAAATGGGTTAAAGAAAAGCAATCAAGAGAGCAAAATTCTGTCTTGGACAGAAAACCTAAATCCTTCTTAATCTTCACAGCCTATCTCCTGGATGAGTTAAGTGTCAAAGCACCTTATTTTAACAACCAAGAATTTGTACATTGCTTTGTATTCTGACCGGCCCAGCAGCACAAAGACTGGCTGGGAGAGTAACGCTCAGGCTTTCCACTTACACCTCATCATTTCTAGCAGAACTGTTAACTGGTGTTCTTGGTCCACTGCCACTTCCACCCATACTCATCTTCAAGCCTCTGTGCAGCCCCAGAGCACTCAGACATCATGTGTAAATCCAAACCTGTCTGTATTTACAGGAGTAGTTTCCAGCTAGTTACAGCAGCCAAACCAAATGCGAACAGGAGCTGCTAAAGGGTCTAGTTTGGTTTTAGGGAGAACAGAACTCAACTTTCAGCATCTGGATTGAATTTGCAGAAGAAATCTCCTTTTCTGAACAATGCACAGCTCAGCTGTAGAAGTCCTTGCCATGGATAGCATAAACAGCAAGGGAACAAATGGGCTCATTAGGTGAGTTCATGGAAAACCAGTCCATCAGAAACATTCCAGTCTTTCTGGCTCAGGAAATCCCTGAACCACAGATTAGTAGAAGCTGGGAGGACAAGGCAGGAAAATCATTAGCATATGCATCTCATTTTTTGCCCTCTTCTGCTAAACACATGCATAGGCGTGTTTCCACAAACAGGAACCTGGGTTAGATAGCTCTGAGGTGTGGCCAACCTGGCAATTTGCACAGCACGTGTCTTTCATTAATATAATTTCAGGTTTTTAACTGAGAAAAGAGTGAAAAAACAGTGTGAAAAGAGTTGAGGAACATGCCAATATGACTTCTTGTAATGTCTTTTGATAGTCCCTTTTCAGGATTCCAGTACCAATTATCACTGCCAGTTAGATCTAAATCTTGCACCTATATTTTGTTGGGTTTTGGGGATTTTATATATTTAGTATTAGCAATTTTTGCAGCAAAGAAATACCTGGGAAAATTCTAGGTGACATTTATTCCATACTTCCTACTTCTGTTGAGTCAATGGTACTACTCCAGCTCAGGCAGTGGTTGCCTTACACTTTTAGAACTGCAGATGACTGTTGCTGACTGAGCTATTACTGTCAAAAATTATTAATCATCCTACTTTGTATTTCCAAAGCATTTTGTTTGCGTGGACTGAGTTTACTCTTGATGTGCATTTGTGACTATTATTATCCTGACAGTCCCCACAGGGAGATGAAAACAGAGTGGAAGAGTGAATTTCCCACATTCACACAGGAAATCATTGGATAAACACAACTGAAGCCAAGAATGATCTTTCCAGGCCCCACTCGGTTTCCCAATGTGACAAAAAAAAGTCAAGAACAAGGAATTTTTGAGGTGAAACCTCAAGGAAAGCATTCAGAGAGGTGTGGTGGGACAAAGGCCTTCTTAGGGAGAAGTTTTCATACCTATTTCTGTGAACTGATCATATTTGAAGGTTATACAGATGGCTGTCTGTCCAAAGGACTCCCCAGTAGATGGATATCCATAACCATCCTCAGGGATGGGAGGGAACAGGGGCACACTGTGAATCACCCAGAAGCCTTGTGATTTATCCAAGAGCAGAAATCCTGTCAAAATAAAAGTTACTGCAAATGAATTAAGGAGGAAAAAGCCCTGAGATGATAGAGCTGTGCCCTACTTTGGTTTTGCTGCTGCAGATACCACATTTCTATGTGTTAATGTCTACAGTAAGCTGTTCCAGAGTAGATTAGTAGACCATAGGAAACACTAATATTGCATTAAAATTGCATCAATTCTTTCCTGCATAACTCAAACTATCATCATGTTTTATTTGAAAAAAATCCTTTCACACCCCCTTCCTCTGCTCAAATTTTGTCTTCAAGAGTTCTGACAACTTAGTAGTTGTGCTCCTCTCTCCATTTCTCATCTTTCTTCACTTCAAATATTCACTGGATAAAGGGAAATGGATTCTGTCAACACTGTGTCTTCTTTCCCAGACCAAATTGTCCCCCATGGGGAAGCAGCAGAGGGACAGGCTATGCTTCTCCCCTCCAGGGTGGATCACGGCTCCTGAGCTGTGCCCATTGTTGCAGCCTGAAAATACAGCCCTGCAAAATGTGCTCATTTCCATGTCAGGCTGGGCAAACCCCATCTGCTTCCTCAGGGGAACATTTCAACTCCACTGAAATTTACACTAATTTAAAGTCTCAATTTTGTGTAACTACATCCTACAGTGCTTCCATGATCTTGGCAGCGGTTTCTTGTCCCAGAAAGTTTGGAGGGGTTTCTGTTGAGGGCATCTTTCCCTTCACATCTTGTACTGCTTTGCCATTAGGAACAGGATGGTCCTAAAAGGATTTGTACTAGTTTCAACTCTCGAAACAAAGAATCCATATGCCCCAAGATCCTTCACACAGCACAGGTGTAGCAAAACCCAAACAGAAGCTGCAGTATACGTAACTATACGAAAATCACACGCCATGCAAATCCCTCTTTGGTTTTGCTTTAGGCAGGAATTTTAGATATGCAGATAGACAAAACAAACAAGTAGATGCTAACCACAACTTTAGAAAGGAGAAAATATTAGTTTGGGCCTCTCCTTGTACCTTTGGTGTGTCCACACTTTGACCCTTTGGAGTCTGGTTCAGGGATCTCATCGTTGTATATCGCATATGCAGTGGTGTTCCTCTGCAGGGAAACACACATTTCTGAAACATGACATCCAGTAAAAGGAGGGCATTTAAGCAAACATCTGCTGGGAACAGAAGAAAGAATTCGGGATTCCTCTGTGTGAGCTTCATGAGCCTAATCCTGCTCCCAGTTCAGCTGACACAGTCTCCACAGACATTACAGTAAAATAAACCTGAAGACTCAGCTTTAGGGCCTCAGCTGACATGAAGTGGAAGTTCTCTCCATCGCTGCAGTAGCCCTTTCCCAGGGGTTGAATATGCTTGCTAAGCCAGTTTACATGGGTTTAGTGGGCACTTGCTTGCAAAGAAGTTCCACTCTGTTTTTTGGGCCTCTCTCTGATTTGGCAATCAGATCTGGTAAAAATATTCGCTGAGTAAAAATAGACATGACAACTGTTCTTATGAAGGGCAAGTAATTAAAGCTTTTCTGCAAAACATTTGCATATGACCGCACCTTATTTCCCCTGAACAGAGAACTTCAAAGGAGTTGGGACATGCCTCCCCTCCCAATGTACTCTGAGTTTGTGAAAAGTTTATTGCAGCTACAGTAAGACCTGGGATAGCACAGTTTTCTGCCAACATTTAAGTGACTTCTGGGAGTCTCTTCTACATACAAATTGATTGCACCCTACCACAAACCCACAGGAGAAATGCAGACACACCCAGACTCCAAACAATACTACATAGATGGGAAAAAAATAATTATAGGGAGATCTTTTGATATTTTACAATCACTTCACACAAATTTAAGTGAGGTGTCTGAGTGTGGGAGCAAAGAAGGTCAACAAGCAGCACATCACTGCTGGAGCAGTCACAGTGAGTCCAGGGGGATGATGAAAACCCAGATTTGATTTGAGTCAGAGTATGAATTGCATGTTCATAGGAAGGCTGAGGACAAGTGTCTGTAACAATTCCACCGACTTTAGTTTAAACTCACAACTTCAGATGTTGCTCAACATGAATTGCAGAAAAGCCAAAGGGAGAATGCATGAACACTCTTTTTTTGATGAACAACACTCTAACTATATGGAAAGCTTGACTAGATATTTAGAAGTTTGAGGATTATTCCTAATTGTAGCCAAAACTGCAAACAATCTGCCCAGCTGTCAAGGTGCTCCTCCCCTCTGTGTGTTTTAGCAGATCTATCGGTCAGACCTGGCCTAATGTGCTTATTTGGGCTGCTTTCATGTCATCTGCATATAATATCAAGTAACCACACTAACAAAAATGAAACATCACTTGCCTTGGATTCATACGTCTCATACAGCTGCTGCAGTGTTTGTCCCAGAGCACCCTGTGTCATGTTGATGAGGTATTTACCAAGCTGCCACTGCGGAGCCAGGGCGTCCATGTACAGGTATTCCAGTCCCAGCATGGGAATCTGTCCTTTGGCATGTTTTGGCAACTTGTAAAGAGCGAACCTGCAACAGTGAAGAGCAATTGTTTTTTTTATCACCACCCTGTTTGAATGTGTAAATCAGTATCCCCTTCCCTGAGGAAGAGAAGGGTGAATCCAAGGATGCCTGGGCTGGAGGGAGAGCAGTGTGGACATCTCAACCTCAAAGCAATGACCCAGCCCAGGAACCAGCTGCAGTTTGGCAGCACAATCCCTTCTGCAGACAAATCTTTTCTGCTTCTTAGCAAGCAACAGAGGCTGATTCAGCATCAAACTCCTGCTGCTGTGGCCAGCTGTTGGTACCCCTGAAGAATCTGAGGTAGCCTTGGTTGAGTCCATGAAATCCCTGTTGTTCCTGGTTCTGGTGAAGAACCTCAGGTCCCAAACCCAGTCTAAAATTCCCCCAGGTAAAACAATGTATATATTATATAAGATTTATATAAAATTATATAAAATTATATAAATGTATATATTACATGAAACAGATAAAATTAAGTATTGAAATTTTTAAAATGCATTATATTATGTTTACATGTATCACAATCACAAAATAAGTATAAAGCAATGTGATAAAAAGTTGTTCCAGTCTTACTTTCCACAAGAGACTTGCACTCTGATGAACTCTTGCAGACTAGAAATTTTCAAACCAATAGCCAGGAACACAAATTCCTTCAAATTTGTAAAGTACTCAATATTGTCAGTAAATGGCTCAGTTCATAATAAGGTTCCTGACAAAGTAAACATGTTTTCCCAGTGCACAAGTCCATGGGATTAATCACAATGTCATTAACTCAGCTACTTTCTCTGAGGGCTGTAATTGAGTAATTTGCTATTAATGTCAACAGTAAGGACTGAGTGGCATTATTTTCAATCTATTTAACAAAATGCAGCTATTTAACAAAAATGCAGCCTGTGCTTAACCCCTCAAGTATATCAGGAGAAGTAAACCCTGCCCAGCTGACTTTCAGGCTCAAGTTGGTCACAAAAGACATCTCCAAACACAGGTAAGAAGTGTTAGGACAACATTTTGCTAGAGATGAACATTTAATCCATAGGAAACATACATGTACAGGCAGAAGAAAAACACACATCAATGGTGGTCCTGGTAACCCACCTGCATTGCCACTGACTGAATGATCTCCCTAAAGCATCTCAGGAGAAATAATTTCTGGTGACAGATCACAGGCAAGAAAGTGATTTACAACTAGGCTGGGGAGAGCATTCTGTGCCTATACATGCAACAGGAGTCATAACAATTCCTTTATTTGAAATAAAGATTTGAAAGGAAGATTTGGAAAGGAGGGGAATAGCAGTAGTTACAGTAGTAAGAGCTGATCCAGGAATTAGTAGATGAAGCCTTTCCAAATTACTTTGAAACCTGCTGAAAGATTTATGCTCTGGAAATGTTTACAGCCTCACACCTGACAAATCCAACTTAGCAGGTATGCTTATGAAAAGCCAGTCATTGAGCTATCCGGAAACTGCCTGCAAATTCCCAGTGGATACATGTTTTGGCACTTTCCAGAAAGCCAGCTGAGTGTATTACCAATTAAAGTTGTATAAAATCTTTACTGCTATTTGTGCACAGGAAATTTCTCAAGAGCTTAGGCATTTGTGGGAGCAAAGTAAAAGTTATTTTCCTGAGAACCAAAAAAAAGCAAATCCGCTTAGAGCAGATTAGGAATGTCACATTGTTTGCTTGTGACTGAACACAATTTACAAGCAAGAATCACATCTTTACTTCTTCCCTTCCTCCCCACCCCCTTAAAAAAAGCCCAAACAAACAATGTCCATGGTGGCTTCAGTCCTTGACTCAACATTTCTCAGAAAGCATAGTTTTGGTTTTTATTTGCAGGGAAAGCTTCCCACAGAATACAGTGAGTTTAGACGAACAAAGGAAAGCCTCTGCTCTCCTCAGAGAGCAGAACCTCTGGCCATTTGCTCTGGTAGCCCGTGAGGGAGGTGCAATGAGGATTGTGGGATGAGATCCCGAGTGAAATGAAAACACAGGAGAGACTTCTGCCCGCCCAGGTACTGCGTGTGGGGAGGAGCTGCCAGCCCAGCTGGGGAGCACAGATGGGAGGGAGCAGGTCACATAAAGCAAGTGATTCCTCTGGTTCAGTGGTAAATGAAAGGGTGTGTGAAAACTGAGAAAGTATGGAATACTGCAGGATGAAACCACTGCATAGCAGGAACTCACATAAGCCTCTTGCTATCTGAAAATAATGCAGCGTAGTTTGTTTGAAAGGGCATTGACTTCTTTTTTTTAAAGAGGAGGCTCTTCTCAGCAGTTTCAGTTCTGCTTCTCCTGTCAGCTTCATAGCAACCAAATCTAGAATCTAAAGGCTGACTCTTTCTTCTCAATAAACCAGGAATGAGCCCAGCAGACAAGCAAGTTTCTCTTCTTTTGATCAGGGCATATTGAAAAGGAAATCCCTCTGTCCCACCTGCTAAATTTGTGAAAGGGAACATGGATTTGCCTGTGCAGAACCCCAAGTTCCCTCCTGGAACAGGCCCCAAGTCACTGGCATTCACACAGGTGAATTATTCCTAGCCCCAGCCTTCAAAGAATTTCTCGGAAAATTTTAACACAAAACTTGTCTTAATTTAAGAAATTTGTATATTTGCACAGTTTGTATATGTATTGGTGTGTGGTTTTTTTGTTTGGTTTGTTTTTGTTTGTTTGTGGTTTTGTGTTTGTTTCTTTGTTTTTCACAAAAAACTTCATTCTGCAAGGAATAATTCCAGTTTTGGGAGAAATTAAATATGTCATACCTTTAAGTTCATGGGCTGCACCAACTAAGAGTCTGATTCCTGAAAAAATTACATTATCCAGAAGGGTCTTGGCAAAGGGGACAAGCCATAGGGATGGATTAGACCCTCATACATTTGACACTATGCCAACAGAGAGCAAAGCCAGCTTTGTGCTCCTGCCTGTGGTGTGAGGAGCACCTGCCTTCCCTGCAGTTAGCTCTGTGTGCAAGGAAAGGGATGGGCAGACTTCTTTAGCACTTGTATCCAAACTAAGCACTGTTCATAAAAAAAAAACATTTTTTTTTTTTTTAAATTGGTCGACACTTACTTTCAAGAAGCTTATGTGCTCTTTTAAAACAGCCCTGGTTTCACTTTTTAAATCTGGGCTGGGTATTATGCGACTTTACTTTGCATCTTTCCATCTTGCAAGCGCGTTAATCCAATTAATCATTTAATGCCCGAAGCTGGGCTCGCCGCCGGCAGTGGGACCGCACCGGCGGTACCGTGACGGCAGCTGCGGGCAGGGAGCGACTCCAGCCACAGGGCACAGGCCAGGCTGCCGCCGCCAGCCCTGGGCCGGCTCGGCCTCCGCTGGCCCTCGGAGCCGGCAGCAGGAGGACGAGGCCCCTCGCTGCTGTTCCAAGGGGAGATGCGGGCGCTTTCCCCTCGGTGTTTCCGGGGCCAGCCGAGCCCGGGCCCGGCCGTGCCCCGCTGGCGAGCGCAGCCTCGGCACCCCGGCACAGCCTATGTTCCCTTTCATCATGAAACGCGTAAAACCGGGATTATTCTGCAGTTAGTCGTGATGCAGCACGGTGGTTGGTTCAGGGAAACGAAATTAGATTTTAATAACTTATCCTAGGTTTTTCAAACGCAGCGCTCAGCCACTACTCCCAGGCAAACAGCGCTGAAGCAGCGATCGCCTTTGCATTGCTTCTCGGTGACCCACCCACTTCCCGCGGGTGACTCTCAGTGTTTTTATTTACTCAGCCAGCGTTTCTCCCCTGCTCGGTATTTACTCACCAATCCACCGTCTCCCCGTCTTCATTCCTGCAAGAAATCTCGGCGGCCCACAGGGGCACGGAGGAGAGAAGCAGGAGCAGAGCAGGGTGGCACCAGGCAGATCCCGCAGGCATTTTGGTTTCCCGGCAGCGCAGGGCGAGCCCCGAATGGCTCTGAAAGGAGAAGTTGTGCTGCCTTAGCTCTCAGCTCCTGCCCACGGAGCACACCCCGGCACGGCGCAGCCGGCCAGGGAAACCGGGCTCCGCAGCACGGCCGTGGGCAGCGCGACACGGGCTCCTGCGAGCCGCCCGAAACTGCTCACCATTTCTTTAGGCCACAAAATGACAGCTGACAAGTTATGGCTTTGACAAAAAAACCCAAAAACCCAGAAAATTATTATTTTGACTATTTAGAATATTCCTGGTATTCTGCTTAATAGAAACTCCAACCTGCAGACACTTTTTTGTTTTCTTTTTAGTGCTCCATGACTGACATACAAATTTTTCACAACTGTCTGAAAAAACCCCTGGTGTTCACACAAGCAAACCAAGATCACTTCCAGCTCTCTACTTCTCCGCCCTGCCCTCGCAGTGAGCGCAGCCCTCACACCGTGCCCGCAGAAAGAGCTCCCGGCCAGCGCTGGGGACCTTCAGTCACCCCTGGGGATTGAGCCCATAGGGACTGAGCTGGAGAAATGCTCTGATTTCTGAACCAAAAAAATTTACTTACAACTAGCTAATGTTATTTTCAGCTATTTTTAAAGTGCATTAACTTTTCTCTTAGGAACAAACATGTCTGAATTGAGCAATTTCATATCTGATAATCTTATAGCAACTCACACATAAAAAGCTTCAATTTATATTTTGGTGTGGCAAATGCTCTTTCTCCCTTCTCATTATGTCTACATGAAAAGGGGCTGATTTCCATTAGAAGTTGTTGATCTGGAGTATGGGATATTTCAGCCTCATGGAAAGCCTAGTGCAATGAGCTCTGGATATTTTAGCACAACAGAAGTCCACACAACCTTTGCTGAATTTTGTCACCTTGCTAGTACAGCCTCTCCAACACTGTAAGAGATGTGTAAATGGGGTGTGTTTGACAGAAGCAGGGTAAAACTTAATAATTTGGCTTAATGCAAACAAAACCAATGATCCTAGAGAAGAGACTCAGCAAAGGTCTGAGGTCTATATGAAGGACTATATAGTCAGGACTAATTCACAGAAGACAAATGAGAGACTAGTTCACTGTGACTCCTGTTCTATAATCTGTCCCCCAGAAAATTTTAAAATTTTATCACAGCTGCTACTAATGTAATAAGAGGCTCCTAAAGCATTTTTTTTCCCCGTCAGGACTCTGCAATTTATAATGAAAATATTCTCATTATCACAGGTAACCACAAAAATAAAGGCCATAAGCACTGTTTACGTTCACTGACATTGTTTCATGACAGCATAAATCAGGCTTCCACTGCATTTCTTCACAATTGCCACGTGTTTTCTTTGCAGATCAAGGACCTTGAAGTTCTCAACTGTGAATATGGCAAGAATACAATTAAGTTCCTTCGCCTTCATAGAGAGGGAAAGAAGCATTTCGTTAAAGAAGTGGAAGTGTGTGCACATCTCCGGCTGACTTCTCCTCAGGAGTACCTCGAAGGGAACAATTCTCTTGTGATACCTACAGACACCATAAAGAATATTGTCCTTGTGTTGGCCAAAAAAAATGGGGTATTTTTTTTATTTTTTAACTAGCCTTACTGTTTCTTACAATTTCATTTGCAAGTATTTCTTATACTAACTTTTTATTTTCAATTGGCATATGACATCAGTACGAAATTAATTTTCAGTGATTTAGGAGAGTTTTCTGCTTGTCCTATGCACACTTTCTTAGTTTTCAAGAGTCTTTTTTTCTCAGGAGCTAATACTATTTTTTGTGGATTTGTCATATAAAAGCAATCTCTTTTTTTTTATAAATAATTTAATAGCCCATAATCTTGCATTATTCCTATAGAGTATTTTTAAACAGAAGGTCTCAAAGTATGAGACTCCTTAATTCTTCTGTGCTCTTACTGCCATCAATTGCATGTATTGTAATGACAATCTGAAGCACTAAATTTCTCCATAATGAAATCCCATCTTTACCCAGTAAAACTTAATTAGAATATCACCGTATCAATGAGAATAATCACGATAAATTATTATTTCAGCATTATATCCTTGAAGCATAAGACTCCTGCAGCAGTTTCTCTCAGTCCAAGGACTGCAGTTCACTGTACCACAGAATGGGAGATTTTTGACACAACTGTAGCTGCTATTTGCAGCATATGCTGCAAGCTGGTCAAATGACTGGGCATAGTGAGCCAAGCTAGGAATAAGAGAAATGTGTTTTTAACTGCACTGATTCTTCCCAAATACTTACAACATCCAGAAAAATCTACTTTTGTACATGAGGTAATTGCTTCTTTCTAACAATACTGTTTGCTGCCTTAGATCCCAAGTTTAGAACAATTTGCTATAGATATCTGCAATCACTTCATGACAACATTTTGCCAAGTGGCCTACGTCAAAACCTACGTTCAAGAAGTACCATGGCAACGTCTGCATGAGGTAGCTAAAACACTAATACATGCCATTTGTTTATACTGTAGTCATTCCTCACTCTCTTAGCTCCTGTTTTCAAATTAACATAATATTTATGGTACTTTTACTTACATGTCTGCTCTAAATTGCAGGATGGAGTTCCCCACATCCACTCATTCATATGTGTTCCTGATGGGATCCGCTTCTGTGAAGCTGAGCAGTGCCGGAATGGTGAGAAAAGAATTCTCTGTAAATATTTCTGCCAATGAGAGGTGAAGATAGCTTTAGAGATAGCTATGGGTGTTACAGGGCTTAGGGTACAGCCAAACTACTCCAGAGGTCTAAACCAAAGAATATTTTTATAGTGTAATTTTGATGTTCTTGATCTCTGAGATGTGGCTGAAGAGCTAATGTAGTTCCCATTTGTATATATATTTGTATAATATTTGTATATATTTGTATATTTGTATAAATATATCCCAAACATGGAATGGTTACAACAGCACATCCAGCAGGACTGTTACATTTTACCACAGGATTTAACAGCCTTCTGAGAACAGGCTGCTTACTTTTCTACCTTGTACTATAACCTGCAGTATCCTCTGATCCTTACCCGATACGGCACTGCTGCAGGCCAATTGCCTGGTTTGCAGTAATTTTCAACCCCTGTCAACAGGCCCTCATTTTATTTCTAAGAAAGCAATTTCATTGCTGCAAGCCAGACTAGCTTGAACATTGTGAGCATGCAGGTCTATATGTGAACCATTTTTCACATGAAAATACTTCATTGTGCTTACTACTTTTGCACACCATGCATAAACAAAGCAGTATTTGGCTTGGCAAAGAGTTTTGTGATATTTAAAAGACAGGCTTTCAAGCTCAGCTGTCTGTCCATGAATTGGCATTCCAAAGGGAGTGCAAAACTTATCTCTACTTGCTGTAGCTCACAACAAAAGCCTAAGTTCAGTGTCACTGTGATGGTGTTTTGTTTAATACATCTCCTGGATTACTGGGGACCAAGCTGAGCCCACTATTTCATTTCACACAATGGCTTTAGAGGGTTTAGGCTTTAGTTCAGTACCTATCCATAACACATTAATGTAACCTGGAACTATTTCCCATCCTGCCCAGAACCAGTGGCAAGACCAGTTGCAGACAGGACACAAGTTTCGAAAGGTGCATTTGAGCACTGTCCCTGTGTTCCTGATGAAAGAACAGAGAAAGCCTGCACAAGTCTCCAGTGCTTCTTGGCCTCATCTTTTTTAATTTTTCTAGTAATATTAACTATTGCTGTACTTTTGGAAGCCTTAGTAGCATTGATTGTATTTTCTGGAAAACGTTAAGACACATGAATTAAAAAAAAAAAGCAAACCAAAAAACCAAAAAGAGTCTATATTTTTTGAAAAGCTACTGCTCTTAATGTAGATTTTATTAAATTTTTCATCATCATAAAAATTTAACATGCAATTCTGCAACCTCAGATTCTACACAAACAGAAAGCCTTTATGGCTTACTGAAGAAACCACCTTTCCTTTCATGCAGCCCTTTAGTTGTTTCTTTAGAATTCCCTGCCTAGGTGAACAATAACCAAAGTGAAGATTTTCAAATCACTTTTATTTTTCTTCAAAGAGAATATTCTCTATATTTAGCACCCTCCTATGCACCTATCAGCCAGACACGGGAGTTCATTTCAGTTAATCCTATCTTTTAACAATTTTCTTAGCATGAAAAAAAACAAAACCCTTGTGAGGTTTAATAGAATTATTTTTTGCCATTATATCAGCTGATAAAAGGCTCCAAATTTTTTGGAAACTCAAAACATCATAAGTAACTTAACAGAATCAAAATTTGTCAACTGAAGACAGCACGATCACACAGCCTCCTGAAAGCACAGCTTGAGCTGTTCACCTTGGAAACTCTCCCTGCGTGCTGTATCCTTTGGAGTGAGTTTCAGGTTGACTGCTGCACAGCCAGCCAGCCTTTCAGTCAATCTTTTATTACAAGGAGCTCTTTCAAACAAGGCAAAGTATTTGAATATAAGACAAATATCTCTCCAGGTTCACTGATAGTATCTGCATTACATTAATACCTGTGTGTCCCAGTCTTATACCCAAGTGATGAATTACTCAAGATCTGTACAAACCCCAGAATATCCTGTCCAAGGTCAGTCTCTTCTTTTGATCTTTTTAAAGCTTTAGTAAATAACAGGGGGACATAGGCAAAATGATATATATACCTCCTTAGATTAATTCAAAAACAAAAATTAATGTAAACAAGAAAAGAAACAGATAAGATGTAGTTTCAATAATATCCAGTCACAGAGCATTTTAAAAACACCCAAACTTCTAAACAGCCATGCAATTTAGAAATTACTACCAGGGTGGAATTATTTAAAGCATAAATTCCTTCAAAGACATCATTTAAAGACAAAACTTGTCAATCTTCCAAATCCAAGGCAGGATTACAATGCACTTGACATATTCAAGGATAAATTTTGCACTAGCTAGTGTGAGCACCAACAGCAGCACAAAACCAGCAGCTTGGGCTTCAGCCACTGGCTATCTGCATGCCATGAAGTTTCTATTTTCTGAATTTTTGGCAGTTCTGGTCAGTGAAATTTTCAGTTACCATCTTGGTGTGCTCTAAGTGACTGCTTGAAATTGAAATAGCTGCCATTCAAAAGGTGTGTAAGAAGAAAAAGTTCAGGTCACAACTGCTTGATCTTTAGAAGACAATGATTCACCCATGCAGCAGTGATCCTCAACAGCTTGTTTTATAAATAGTGGCTAAGAGCAAAGCCACTGTTGGTTTGGACCTGTGGGTGGCATCTGTATCAGTGCCAGTTCCTGCTCATTAGCTGAACTGCAGGGATTTGCATTGGCTCTGGCTCCGATTCTCAGAGATGCAAAACTTCCAACAGGATGGGTATCTAAGGCAAATTACTGACCAAGACTCTGTCTTTATACAGAGAATTTTTACATTTGTCTGTGTTCTTGGAAAAGGCGCCAGACCTCTTGCTGCGTGGTAGCCTATTTAATTTCCCTTTAAAGGCATTCCTAAATTGACATCAGCACAAGCCAACCCAATGCATGTCACAGTTCCAAGCAAGTGAAATAAAAAAGTCTATCCTCAGTTTTCCTTAACTGCAGATCCCTTGACAGGATTCTCTGTTTTCTAGACTGAGCCTGACTTCAGTAGTTTCTGTCTTGTTTCTTACCTTTCTGCCAATATCAGTGTGCAGAAAGCCATTGTCTGCTTTCTGGCTCTGGAGCCGTCAATGCAAGTATGCACTCAAAGGTTTCTTTCTTTGCATGAAAAGAAGCTCATCATTTCTTCTAATTTTCAATCACAGGTCCTCTGGTTGTCTTTGCTGGAATTAAGGACCTGAAACTTATGAAGACAACGCAGTCTGGATTTGAAGGCTTCTGTAAGAATGAACACACCACACTTCCTGAAAGGCATGACAGGATTCTGTGTGGAGAGCTCTTCTGCAAATGGTCATATGGCGAATGCAAGGATTTTGACTTTGACTGCATATGGTATATGTTATATCAAGTAATACTAATTTCCCAATCTATACTCACAAAGTCCCTCTATACAATACAGAAGGTGTAAGGGCCAGATCCACAGCTGTTGTGCACCAGCCACTCACAGGTCTCAGTGGCAGCACTAAGCTCTTGTTACAAGGGGTGAGAAGCATGTCTTAGGGGTACTTCTCTCTCTCAGAGTAGATCATTCAACAGGATTCAGATGAACAGTTCAGTGTTCAGTATACTTTAGGAGAATAATGTAACTAATTTGTTAAATAGTTTTAACAAAACCTATTTGTGAATTATATATCTGGTGGGGGTGGGGAGAGGAAACAGAGTTTGGGTGACAGGACAAATTGTTCTTCCACAAAATCCCATGAGCTATTTATTTGTCAGAAAAGACATGCAAAATATACAGAAAAAAACCACCCCACAGCAGAGCATAATAGATTGAAGCAGAGACAGCTGATACAAGTTTTTTTAAGAACCTGTGTTACCTCTAGGAAGAAAATCCGTGAATGTATCCTTGAAGCCTTTGCTGGACCACCTGACTGTGGGGAATATTCACCCTCTTACCAGAAAACTGTCAACTGTATCCAGATGCTTGTCCTTTCCAGAGTGTCACAGGTATCTTCTTTCCTCCTAATGATGTTTTACTTCAACAATAGTGAATGTTAATTGCATCACTGAGAAGACCAACATGAGACTGTTATTTCCTCTGTCAGTTCTAAGACTGGAAACTCTCCAGCTGGGAACACAAGGTGTGAGAACATCACTCAGTTCTTGGCAGCCCTTGAATAGAAGTGAAAGGTGTGCTACACATGTTCACTAGATTGCATTTGATCAACTGTACTGTGGGAGGGTGGGATGACATTGTTCTTTTTTACACAGAGTGAAAAGCCTGCCAGGCTGTTGACTGAAAAGGTGCCCTAATTCATTGTCTCATCCATTTTCATGGTTTCAGGTACAGGTCATAGAAGTTGTCTTGAACAACACTTTTTATAATGTTGTAGACATGAAGAATCTAGGCTTGACCAATGACAAAGAAGTAAGTAACTGTTTCAAATACAAGTTGACTGCCCTCTTTAGAAATACTCAGCCTCAAAGCATAGCAGCAGTTCTACATAAAACAGAGTTAAAGTGAGCAAGCTTTCTTCCCCCTATCCCAATAAACTCCACATTACCTCTAAAAAAGACTTACACTGATTGCAAAAGGAGGATAAATAATTTTCTTCTTGTGTTATTGGTAAAAGCTAAAGGTCAAGTGCAATACTCTGGACATCAAAAGGATCTGGAGCAGAGACTGTCTCTGAAAAATTATTCCTGTTTTCTCCACTGAATTTTACTCTCAATTATAATGTTAACCTGTGCATTTTACCCAAGCAGAATACACTGTGGCATCCCAGATTGGTCCAACAGTGGATGAGGTACAAGCCTGGGATCAGGCAGAGAGCATGAGGTAGGGGGTGAGATGCATTTGCTCCTCCCTCCACAGCTGCTCCAGCACAGCTAGGTCCAGCTGAAAGTCTATTACTCTCATATGAAAGAGAAAAATTGAGTTACTCCATTTGACATCAATGGTCTATAGTCTGTTTATGCTCTAGTCTCCCTCCAAAGTCTTGTGATTCTGCTACTGGGCTCTGCTATCCTTTCCCTTCTTCATGTGGACATTACAGATCCACTTTTACTTGTGA